CCCCCCGCAGGGGGTAGCGGAACCTACTGCCTCCACGCATACACTTTTCACGCGAGACGAGTTGTCACATGGGTTTACAACGTTTCTGATTTTCTGAAGTTTTGCCAATGATGTTTATGTTATGACTTTGACGGGTATGACTTTATGGTTGTTTACATTACTTGAGAGCTGTTTTGGTTTGTAATATACTAAGTTAGTTCGCTCGTAATATACCGAGTTAATTCGAAAAAATATTTAAAAAGTTGCTAAACTTTGGAGTCGCAAAAAATCTTTTTGGTATATGTCTTTTTTATCTAACAGGAACCTGTTTACAAAGTTTGACCAAAATTTGAACATGGACGTTTTCGGAAGTTTTGTCTTAATTTTATTAGAAATGGAATTGAAGTGTCGTTTTTTTATTTTTATTTACCGACTTATGTGTATATTCTTTTTATTCTGATATTGTAGTTGTTTCAGTCGCAACCTATATATAATCTAATCTCTATTGTTTCTTTTTGGCATAAAAGTTTACACTCCTATTTATTAAATTTCAAGAGAAATAGATGAATATACCAACAGATCTCGTGTTCTCGACATACGCCGCTTTTTGTACCGACGGCCTTTTATTTCGTTTCTCCTCGCAGCGGTTTTTTCTTGCGGACCCGAAAAATCGACGTAAACGACCAGATTCACACGAAAGCGTGGTTGCGATGCCGTGGGCGTGCTCGATTTTCCACGAAAATCATTTGTCCAAATTACAGAACGAGTTTCTTTGTCTTTTTCCCTTTCTTCCTCCGTGGTTCGTAACATATTATGAAAAAAAGAACTACAAATTCTGTTACATTTGCGTGCCATATTATACGATTTTCAGAAAAGGTATTATCTGCTGTAAAAAATCGAGGGAAACGCTGGTCAATGGCTTTTGCCGGAAACTATCTTCAAATTCTTCGCAAGTTCACCTATAAAGATAACTAGCGACAAAACGAAGAATTATCTCTGTTCTATTTCAGAATATCATAAAATAGAATACTTATTTGCTTGTGAAATCCCAAAGGATGTAACTGGTCAGAATATAACCTTTTACACTATTCCATATTTCTCATTCTTTTTATACATATAATTTTCCTGTAAATCACCATATGGAAATCACGTCGTGGTAATAAGAAAGACATATGAATTGAAATTAATATTGGTTTGCATCATAAGAAACGATCAGATTACACAAAAAAAAAGATCGAATATCGAATGAATAAACATACATTGTAACGTTGACGACGGGTAAACACGAAGACGCTATAATATACATGAGACGAGATGATCGATGCTTTATCTGTATCTCAACGGTATGACAATGCATATCGTTATCCTTCGCCTTGTCTGGGGCAACTGAAGGAGATCTCTTCGAGGATTAATGCCGGTCGTCCTCCGGAACTTGGACGTTGCATCAACGTCGCGGAATTCGCGCCCGAACGTGCACGTCGCCGCGCCGTTTCGTTTTCGCCGCGAACGGCGAATCGTGTCTTATCCGTGTGATCTAATCGCGTATTCCCGGTAGCGCCGCCCACACGGCCACGGCGAAGGCCCGGGCCCGGCGTTCGTATGCACGCGGTTACCGAATCCGGCCGGCGGAGCCCGGGCCTTTGACTTTTTCACCTCCAGACGGGATCATTGATTTCGGTGAAGGCCGCGACGCAAAAGCGCGGAGCGATCCGCGCGCAAGTGGATTTGCCGTGCTATTTGCGGAACGTCCCGCACCTCCCTGGACTATTGAATAATTTTTTTGTTTGCATCCTTGTTAGCTCGCGAACCTACGAGACTCTCACTGGATCGGACTTAGACTCTGGCTTGAATATTCGCGTATCCAGTTTATATAAACGTTACATTTTTTTTTAATTTAGGAAAACAAAAAACTTTTTAATCGGACATCACTAAATTTTCTCTATAACTTTTTATTATCGTAACATGTGAAAGAGTAAATTTAAAAGTATTTATTTTAATTTTATAAAATATTATATCTCTGAAGTAAGTCTTGTGAATTCATATCTTGAACCTACATATGGAAATAAATCTACCCAACAGTAAGTCAACAAGATTTTTTGTTTAAGGAAAAAGTAAGTATTTTTAACTGTCGTCAATTTTCTCCGCTTTGTACTCGCGTTACTGAAATTGAAAATGCTGTCAACGATTATAAATGCCAGACAATCGTATCTCTTACCTCACATTCGACGTGGAAAAGATAGATGTCAAATTCGACACACACATATATAAGTATATGCCCATCTCAATGCCACTCGTGCCGGCCATAAAATCTGTCATAGTGCGTGCGTGAGCGCACACGCGCGACACGCACGCGGGCACACGTGGAATGTAGTTTGGCCACATAGTGGCGTATGTACCGTGTGGTCATCAAATACTGACTTTGGCCATCAACTTGCGTCATCGACAGCCGCGTTCGAGCGCTGTCGCGGCGCGCATGAATGAAACGAGAAGAGGAGAGCCGCGTACGTACGCGTGTGAGTGTGCGCCACGTGCGTACGTGCGTGCGTGCGTGCGTGCATACGTACGTGTGTGGGCGTGTGTGTAGGGCGCGAGGCTCCGGCATTTAAATGGGATTTAAAATGAACATACAGCCGAAACGGGTTGCGGAGGTCGCGCTTTAACCGTGAACGACCGTGAGAACAACGATCGTGGCTCTAGCATTAACGGCGCGTCTTCAGTGTTAACAAAGACTATTCCATTTTCTCGCACAATCGACGATTCGTATATGTGTCTAAATAAAAACGACAGCGAGAAAACACGGACGGCGATGCCGACAATAATGAATTAAAATCTGGAGTTGCGGAAAGTCCTAAAGGCATACAATTATTTTTATTACCCGTGATAATAATTAATTAACATGGCTTTTTCCTGACGTAGAGCTTTACAAACTCTCACTAGCATTACAATTTTTTATCTATGAACGTATACTTATCTAATAAATCTAATATTTAATAAACGGTTAGATGTAGAGATTACTATTTTATCGTATGTTACTTCAATATCCTAATTATCCCAATAAGGCGATAATTTTTACCACTTGACAGGGCATACATTAAATTTTCTTTAAGGTATATTTCGCAAGACGCGTCCCGAAGACGGGCACCGAAAGGAAAGGTCCAAATATCCTCGAAGACTTCGCGCGAGAAACGCTTCCTAATATTATACCTGTTTGTCTAACAAGGCACGATGGCGCAAAGCAAAGTCTTAGACATGCACACTCTCTCTATATTCTTTGTTTGTCGTCGGTGATATCTTTAACCAAACCTTCGCCATCCGGTTACTTTCTAATACGCGCGCGGTTCTAATTTTGAACGGTCGATCAGAGCTCAAACTCGCGACTCGCGCAATATCGCGATCGGAGCTGCTCGCCAAACGCTTACTTAATTACGAGTATTTGAAATTATGTCAGCAACGACAAGCGAGTCTGTTTCGACTCTTTGCGTTATGCGTTACCGCGACGCGACTATAGCAAGCATTCTATATCTCACTGTTTCCATTATTTAATCCTGCTTGGCCCGCGAGCACTTATTATTTATTAGCGTTTATCAGTATTACTTTATCATTAGTAAGGATTGCTAAAAGCGGAATTTAATTAATTTAAACTTTACGCTCTGTAGGAGACTTGCCCGGCCTCGACTCGGGCATTGACCAAGGTCTTTCAGCACCGCGAAAATCTACAGGAACAGGAAACTAAAATTGGAGAAGCAACACTTTTATTATTAAACTTCTCGTGCCTCCGCGATTGTGGTGCGCGTAATAAGAACTCGGCGTTCGCGCGATTAATGCAACTCTCTGATTCATATTACACGCTTTCATCTCTTCCAATCTTTTATGGTATGTTAGATAATTAAACCGCAGAACCGGACAACCGCATTTGACATTGAATTTTATGTGCTGTCGCGTGCGTGCATTTAACTGCATCGTCGTGCATCTCGGCTCGCGCCGAACCATCTCGTAAATCTGAAAGGAGTTTATTTACTCGATTATACACGAAATGAACCACGCGATTATATATTAACAACGCTTTCGCCATTGGGCGCAGCACAGGTGTCGTTACCTGCAAGATGGCTTTCAACGATATTCTATGCATCGTGAATATGTATACCGCTGATGAAGTATAAAGTCTATTTCTTCGTGAATTACGTACATCAGATTAATGTATCGCCCGCGTTCAAAACTGCTCGAAAACCAGCGACACCGAGAGCGACACGTACGGTCTGTCGGTAATCCCACACGTTAGCCGGCTCGAGGACACGTCACCTTCTAACGCGCTTTCGCCATTAGCGAGGTCATGTAGAAGAGGAACAATTGCAAAACACCTTGGATAGCTACCAAGGCCACCGTGGACTTTTTTCTTCCTAACGGAACGGTCGCGTTATTCCCGGTGTCGTTGAACAGTTAATCGATAGCAAGGACCGTCCTTGGTATTGAGTTTACATATCGATTCGTTTTTTTTTCTTTGTAGGATCGTAATCTTAACGAAGGATAGTGATCGATATATATGATTGTCTTATCTGTATTGATCGTAGAACGGTAGGCGTTCTACGAATACCAGAGCATTTTTGTGTTTCAGTGATCTACTTACGATGCAGTATTTTCACTAGTTTATTTCAAATCGTAAATTTTAAAACTCATTTTTGTCCTAATGTTTAATCCGTAGCATTAAAAAAAAAAACGACTTCATATCGGATGTACCGTGGCGATGTTATCGCTGTTCTTCGTGGTTCGCCTAGATTCCTAGCGCAGTAAAGCCGCTCGTTAAAACGTTTATTTATTATAAATTTGGTTCGGGCGGATTGTAAAAAAAATTTCGCACTGTCGTACGATAGACTATTTAAGGCCCGGAGTAGTTTCGAGAACCGCTACTCTCGAAACGTTAGGAAACGCGGTCGAGCCGAACGGTTTCTTAACGGGCAATATATGTCGATGTCGTCATGCTTAATTAATAAGGGATCCTCGCCTTTCCTCGAAATTTCTTGCAGAAGGTCCTCGACAAAAGACTGAACGACAGGGTCGACGGCATGATGGAGGCCGGTTTGGTGCAGGAACTACTTGACTTTCATCGCGGATACAACGAACAACGGATTAAGTCCAACACGTGAGTGCACCTCTTAGCATACTGTTGCATCACGCGGAATTCGATACAAGTTCAAGGATTTGCTCGCCTGTCGTTTTTCTCTCTCCTTTTCCGTTTAATTCTCTCAATTTTCATGTGTCATGTGCATAGATAATGTTTAAATCGACATTTAAAGCTGATATTTCATAATCTGCAGAGAGCACGTTTATAGAATTTTTTTAGTTGAGAATTTAATTTATATATAATCCATCTTTTTTTTTACTAGATACTTATTATAACAAACCAGACATTTTATAAAAGTGGGTATCATAAATTACATGCGTGTCTAATTTGTGATGGAAATCCTAACGGTCGACGATTAAATAACGATTGTTATTAATGCTGCGCTCGAAGTACGTGAGTTGATGCAGGATTTCACTGATTCCAATCAGTGTCCTAATTAACATGTCTTTTCTGAAGAAACTTTGCGGATACATTAAAAGTTTCCTTATTGCAAGCGGAGAATGTAAATGGAAATGCGTCAAGGATAACGAGTGGATCAATATACAAAGTTGTAGCGCTTATGTGATTCCTTGCAATATATAAAATCTCTCGATGCACATCTCGATTTTGTCCGTCTTAATGTGCCATTTATCATCCGAAATAATTTCGAACGTCTTTTTTGGTTTTAGAGATATCGATAAAATTCCTTCACAATGCAACGCTCTAAATGTAATTTTGTGCCACGATTTATATACAGATAATTTTTACTCCTGCACGCAAGTTTTATTACTTTACACCATAGATCTTGGTAATAAAACAAATTCTACTTTTGTTAAAGTAGAATTTATATGATATATATTAATTATTGAATAAAGATTCTACAATATTTACTTGAAACAAATTGATTATAAGCTAATACTTAAATATTAATTAGCAAACGAGATAAGACAATAACAGAATGTTTTATTAAACGAGCATCAACTCTGAATTGATTAACAAATTTATAAATGAAAAGATTAATTAGTAGTCTGGGATACCCCGCATATATATTCTTCTTATGCATATGTAATGTACATGTCAAATCATCAGAAGTCAGAGACGCGTTACTTCTTCGTAATGTTAAATAGCAAAAAACCTAGAATATAATCGATTTGCACGAATCAATAAAGCACGAATGAGAAAAAATCATTAATGGCTAAATGCTTTAAGATTTTAAATTTATGTTAAAGTACATTTCCATTTCAATTAATAGTTAATTATTTATATATCTCGAAGAAAGTTTATATCGAAATACGTCGCGATGCATATACATATAAGTAAAATATTCAAGTATCAACAAAAATCCTGAAGAAGTAGCTGACATCGTGAAAAGATGCTTTGTATATTGCAATTTGTTTTGGAAACGGAATCAACGCTACATTCTTTAGCGACATCAGCTTTTCTCGCTGTAGTTTTGGAGATTGAAAAAGTCAATTTTTTTTTTTATCGCGCATGCATCTTGACGAATGCACACGCGTGTCGTTGAATTTGCATGTATAGATGCATGCTGTCGAGACATGTGGCTTGGCGACTCGTATTGCCGTTAATGCAGACATGTTTAGTGAATGGGGCCCCCTCTCTTAGTCGTCCCACCTCGCTTTCCTCGCTTCCGGAAGTCGCGGGCGTAATGCGGCCGGATGTCGGCGCGAAAATAAAGGAAGTAACCAACCACGAGGAAAAGTATGAGCGCGTGATTACGTGCGCGTAGCGACGAGCCGAAAATTAATCACCGTCTAATGAGCTGCCGTCTTTCTTTTCCCTGCCTCTAGTCTCCTGGTCCTTCACAGAGAAGGAAGGTGGTTAAATGACTGAGACGCCGGTTTCCCATAAGCTGAACTGACTCCGGGTTTTCGCCGTCTCGGAAACGCGAGTACACCATAGCGTGGAATGCTAATTACTCGACGAACCGTGGTAATTGAAAGACGCAATTAGCGATACGACTGATGTTAGGACGCGCGCACTTCTTGTGTACAAACGCGTGACTAACTCAAAGGTAAATACGCGATCGAACTCGACTCACGGGCGAGTGTGTTTGGCGGAAAAATTACAGTTTGGCTCACGTGGGACGAGCGAGAGAGATTCGAGAATACTAAAATTAAACATTATGTTTGCGAAGCGGGCAGTTCAAGTGATTCAATTCAAGTTAATCACGAGTGTGATGGATATATTCAGAGTACGGAGAGCACAGAACTATCGATTGCAGAGATAAATGATGCGGGCGATAGAGCGTAGATAATAGCAGTAATTGTAAATTATTTTATTACGAACGAGATGATTGATCAGACGTGACAGGTAGTAAATCACGAGAAAGTACAACGAGTAGTACGGGGAGCATAGAGAAAATATCGCGCGCTTTGATTACGGATAGCTCGGTTCGGGAGAGGAACTGCGAAGAAAGTGCGGTCTGGAAACTAATTATTTATATTTTATCGCGATCTTTCGTAGCAGTGCGCCACGGGTGATAAATAATAGCGTGGCAGAAGTTCAGTCGCGGAAGAAAATCGGCGAACTTCCTTGACCGCAAGCCAGAAGTCGGTAAGAAATCGCGAGCGATCAGAAAAGACATTAGTTAACTTCGAGTTTACGTGTAACTATTCGCGGAACGCGCAAAAAGTTGTGCGGTATTTTTATGGTCCAGCGGACTTAAAATTGTTTGCACAGGCGTTTGCAAAAATAAACGCCGTAACACACGAATGCAGAATAGGATACGGAATACAAACTAGAAGCGCGAAAATTTCTTCGATCAACCTGAACCGGCCGAGAGACGTAAACTCTCTCAGAGAGGAAGTGATTCGTGATTTCCAGTACGATTATTTAATCCAACTCGCATACTTGACGAACTTTTGCACGAACGGAACCTGCCGTTGCCTTTTTCTAGAAAGGAATGGGAAGTAACGCGTATCGCGCGACAGTGTAACGTTACCACTTTGCGCATCGTGTCACATTATACAAATACTGCACATTTTTGCCCAACGTATATAGCACATTTTTGTGTGATGCTTCTTACATGAATATACAAGTTAAATCTTCCACATCCTGTTTCTTAATAACTTTTATCTAGAAGATATAATGACATTTATGTAATAAAAGAGAAAGGTCTCTCACAAAGTGATTTAATTAGGTTGATATTGATTGCCAATTTAATATCAATATAATTGTTATTTAACAACGTCGGAAAGTTTCTCACGAATGCTTTATCTATGCAGCAGCGTTAATTAATATTACGCAAAAATATCGAAGCGTTGTGCATTTTACACACACAAGTTACTCGTTAAGTTTTGTTACTTTACGGAGTAATTTAAAGTTGCTCGCACGCGAGCAAAGCAACACATTAAATCACGAACTCTGCGGTTGGTCGCGGGCCGCGATCTTCGGTTTACTTGCCGTGTTCCACGCCGCGAGAGAGAGAAAGATCCGACTAGGTATTTACACCACGTCATCGAATTCCGCGAGAATCCGATGGCCGCCGCGAAATATTTTGCTTATCGTTCGCGCGCTGCCCTCGCGAGGAAGATAAACGCGAAAGAAACCCATTGTTATTAACACGCGATAATATCCGCGAAGTTTGTCGACTGTGCGACTGTTGATTGATCGTTCTTAATTCGTTCCTCATCTCAGGATGTTCCGAAATTGATGTAGCGGATGAAATTAATTTGTAAGTGGCCCAGTTCTGTGTTTGAAACACGATGAATTTAGGTAGAATAGAGAGAATATTGATTTGCGACCTATTTACATATTTTAACCAGATTATTGTAGTTTGCAAATGAAATCAAGTTCTGATAGAACAGAATCGAGTTTTAATTTATACCCTAAATATAATCCTTTAATAATAGCTAAATAAGATGTATACCCTAAAATGATCTTCCTAGGAATCGCAATAATGTAATACAGTTCTAATATAGAAGTGGCTCGAAAGTATGATCAGTTATTCTATAGTTTACCATTTAATGTAAGAGTAGAGTAAGCGATTGTTACGGATTACTGTCGTTTAATTCTCGCTGCTGCTTGCAAAACAGCGTTGCAGAAATTTTCTCGATTCTCACGCCAAGTTATTCCTCCTTTCGCGTAATTCGAACCGTCTCCCTGCTTCCAAATATTCACGCTACTCTCGAAATAAATCAACAATCGATGATCACTCGCGAATTCGTTGTCCGGCCATTTCTACCTGACCAGGCGACAGCTTTACGCCGATTCGGCGCTCTCTTCGTTCACCGAGATCTTTGTTATAGCGGGAAAGTCGTGCAATGCAAATAGAGGGGCATCGGTCACGCTCGCGTTTATTGCCGGACCACGTTCGCTTGTATCTCATTCGCGTACACACGGATGAGCGGCCAGCCTCGAGCTGTCTCCGATTTGCAGGTTGCGAAATAGCACCGTGATCTGCGCGGCGCATCAGATAGAATCGTAACGAAAAGTAAAAAAAAGTAGCGAAATAGCATGGGCAAGAAGGTATCAGCCATATCAGAGCAACCGCAGCAACAGCAGGTTTCCTTCCCGGTAGTAGAATTAATTAGACGATTAATTGATATCGTCGCGCGCGTTTGACAGCAAGTGTTGTCGCTACTCGGTAAGTGTGATATATAAACCCGTAGAGGTAGAATATATTAAACTTAATCACGAATGGACATTATACTGCAAAATAAAACACATTTTATGCACACACCACCCGTAGTCGAGTTAGAAATAAAACTTGTGGTTTAGTTGTTTATTTTTCGCATTTACATTTGGCTGTTTATTTCAAAGCCTATCACGCGAGACGTCATTTTTCTTTGTTTTTTTTTTCCACTGTTAATAAAGTTGGCCGCGGTTCTTCCAACCGGTATGACCGGGAGGAGTCATGCGAGACGAGCATCGGAACGAATCTCTTCGCGATCCTTTCCCGCTGCATGGAAGGCGCAGTCGATCGCGTTCGCGTACGACGTTCCTCTTATCGGTCCTCTTATTGCAGGCAGAGTCAGTCGATGTATATAGATTAGATACAGAACCAGGCGATATAGCGT